TCGGCAACCTCTCCTCTTCCATCCCGCACATGCGATACTGTAATGTCAGCTTCCTCGCGTCTCTTCCCGACCGTAGGGATTGGATCCCCAATTCTGCCCTGACGGCTGCATTACTTGTGCGCTTGGAGCATCCTAGGATGATTTTCGCTGCTTTCGTCTGCGCCGCCTCGAGTTCTTTCACTACCTTCTTATTTCCTTCCCATACTTCTCCGGCGTACCCAAGCAGCGGTACGATTACACTAGTCAATACCGTCAAATTGATGCGTGTATCGAGGTGCCGGTTTGCGAGTATTGGGTGCAGCTTCCCTGCTCGTGCTTTGCCCTTTTCCGCTACCTTGGACATGTGTGCATTCCACGAGCAGTCTTTTGCGATCTCTACTCCGAGGTATGTGTACTGGTCCACTACTGCAATCTCCTCGATCCCCCACTTCCATCTATGTTCTACTGGTTCCTCCTTGTTCTCGTTGCATACCATGACGGCACTCTTCTGAACGTTGGCAGACAATCTCCACTTATCAGTAAACTTCTTCGCCGCGTCAATTTGCAGTTGCAGTCCCTCAGGGGTGTCCGACATACCGACAAAATCATCCGCAAACAGCATTCCTGAAACCGACGTTTCCGTGTCCCCTACTTTTACTCCCTTCCGGACTGCCTCTACGACTTCCAACAGATCGTTGATGAACACCTGGAACAATGTAGGGGACAGCGTGCAACCTTGTGGGACCCCCTGCTCAATGTCGAAGAATTTAGACAAATCTCCGTCTAGCATGACCGCGCTTTTCGTACACTCTGTCATGTTTTTCAGCACTCTTCAACATTTTCCCCTTAATCCCGTAGTTGGACAGTTGTTTCCACAACCCATTTCTCCATGCGGTGTCGTATGACTTTTTCACGTCCAGGAAGAAGCAGTACGTCGGGGTCGGGGGGGGGGATACCTTGATTTTACCGCGAAACCTGGGATATGGCAATGTTGTCCCCGGGTATGCATGTACTTTTTTTTTTTGCAACAACGTTCCTTGTCATAGAAAACACCTACCCACAAAAGGGCACGTTATGGAAGTGTACGGTGAATGTGAAACAAGGGAAATGGCCTTGGAGTCCCCGCGGAGAATTCTTACCGTAGCGGCCAGGTCCAAGGTATGCCTGTTTGAACGGGCATTTCATCACCTACGCATCGTTTTTCGTCCTAATTTTTTATCAGGGAGTCGATATATGAGCAGAATGGACCAACTATGCATTGATCTCTTAGTTCTGGCTCTTTTCATGTGCGCAGCACCGCCGTACGGTCAAAAACGGGGTAAAATCCGTCCCCGATTTCAGCCGGGAAACCCGGGGATGTGAGGATTTTGTCCCCGGGTGTGGATCAATTCCAATCTTTTTTCCTCAAATGCATACATGTTGCAACAGACACATGTACACAAAAAATCAGATCATGAAACACTTCAGAACGTACGAAATCAGCTACAAAGGTAAAGTGTTCCTTGTTTGGGGGGGGGGGGTGTATTCCACCATGTTTCGTTCAACACTGCGGTGCACTGCATCAGCTCTATCTCATCTGCCCTTACGTTTCTTTTTTGTTTTAGAGAGAGGTAGCCTACAATGTACCCAACGTCCGATATTTAAAAACACTTGAAATTCGTTCTCACGCCCGAGAACGAGCTGTTGGCGCGAGAGGTGGCTGAAGCGTTCCTTAACTGGCCGGTTTACTCTATAGACTACACGTACCTCAACCTTACTTATCATCACGTGCAAGGGGTATCCAAGTGATGATGTACAAGGCTCGAAGTTAGTTACAGCTGTACCATGTTTGTTGATGATCGGCGCATGTATCGACGAAAAATCTGCCTGGCTGGTACACAACTGAGTGAGGAAAGGGGCCGAGGTGGCGCAACAACAACACACAAGTCGGAAAGAAAGATGTCCAAAGATAGTCGCGGGGGGCTCGTGAATGAAAAAGTGCAGTGCATGGTACCGTACCCACCGATGTGCGGCGAAACTCTTCATTCCGGACCCCTGGCCGCATGATGTTGGTAGCATCTGGGATGTGCTGTGTCATCCACAAGCAGCACAGGGCGCGCCGTGTCCGACGGTTCGACGGGACGAAAGACAGCTGGGGTACTGCTGTTTTCCTGCGACCCTTGTCGTTATGGTTGAGAGCTTACTGCAGTACATTCTCAAAGTTGCAGCAGGCGCAGCTGGAGCTCTGCTCCTTCTGCTGTCCTCCTTGGTAGCAGTAGCCCTCGTGTCGGATGCAGTAGCAAGACGACGCAGGCGGGGCAGGGGAGAAGGCGAAGGGAGGTCGGCAGTCTACGCGGGCCGTGTGTGGCATGCGAGGTTCAAGCCGACGGCGCACCGCTTCTCGTACCCAATTTTCTATTGCCTCGTCGACCTCGACGAGCTGGACATCGCGTTTCCATGGTGAGATATCGTAAAGGTAGACTACACCCAGATATGCAGCTGATCCTCAGCAGCGGCAGCAGAGCGTCGTGCAGTGGAGCTTCTGTAGACAACAACAGAGTAAACGCACAACAGCAGGACACCGCTGTCGTTGAATGAACTAAGGGCACTCACGCGCCGAGGTGCACGTGCTCAGCCTGAACTTTCACGGAAGGCACACACCCCACGGCCAGTACACACAGACCAGACTGCTGTACAGCAATGAGCTTCGTGCGTGCTGCCCCTTCTTCTGACGAGTATAACACCATCCTCGAGACGGAAATGCCGGTCGTTGCACCGTAGAAAGCGCGCACGAATAGAAACGTTGTGATTGAATAATGTTCGCAGTCCCTGGGTGAAAGTTCGGTCCCTTCGACATCCCCTTGATCAAGGAGGGGGCAGGGGGCAGCCTTTGATAGCGATATTAGAATGGGTAATGAGTTGCGTCTGTAAAACGGGGGTGAAAAGGTGGGGATAATTAGGCTGGAAGAGATTTTTACAGTACGCCGCAACAGTCGTTGTAACCTTGCAAATAGTACCCAGACAGAGGCCCTCCAGTACGGATTGGGCGGCAAAGAGCGCTGTGATTGTTCAGCAGAGAAATTCCACGAGGCTGTTGCTGCCCGGAAAGATGGGAACTGGCTTCGGCAATTGAAGAAAACACCTGATTTTTTGTGTTTTTAGGTACACAGACAAAACGAGGTAAACTTGTGGCAGGACGTGGGTCACTGGGTTATCCCGGACGCTTTGTGGAAACGTCGGGCGATGTGCGTTTTCCCGGTTGGGCACGGGCGACGTGGAAGGAAGGAAATAGCTGTTTCCACACGTATTCGTGGCGTTAGTGACAAAAGGCGAACTTTGTCCTTGCGTACAAATTAAGACGGCAGTATGATCACGACCTCATCCCTTTGGGTCCGATCGGATACAGCAACGAGCGCTTCTAACATTTTGGTTTAGCCCAAAAGTATTCCCCGGGGAGTAAGTCGCTCTTCCTGTGGTGGAGCAAACCTGACATCGTGACGAGACTCGCTAACCAAGAAGACGTAGTTTTTCTCGCGTGTGTATTGTGACAGGTTTCAAAGGGGAGGTTCACCGGTACAGGACATTTGACAATTTCAATTGGAGCTTGTAGTCACAGCATCGCCGCTGCTCTACAACCCACTGCAAGATTTGTTCGGCCATCTTTCATTTTGTTTTCGCAACGCACGTCCCTCACGCAATGTGATATCCATACGCAACCTACACCCCCCCCGCATGTACACACTTGTCACGCGCATTGAGTCAAAAGGTACGTTTGGCCGGTGGGCTCGGCCCGGCTCCCGGCGCTCTCGAGATTCCGGTCCGCAGACCACCTGAAGGGGAGGGGAGCCGCCACACCGGTGGTTGCGGCGGGTGGTGGGGGTGGTGATGACGAAAGCAGCAGCGCAGCGGCAGGGGGGCCCGTCGATGCTGCGGGAGATGGGGCGGGGGGGAACGAAGGGGGCCGAGGGGCGTCCGGCCGAGGGGCGTCCGGCCTGTCCAGGGCGACTGCTATGGCGGCGACATCTTCTTCACCGCTGTTGTCGAGCCTCGCCGACAGGGTTAGGGACATCGTCGAGGAGGTTACAGGGGTGAGAGTGGGGGTGATTGGAGGCGATGGAACTGGTAGTAGTCGCATGTCGTTCGAGAGGAGAGCTGTGTATGTCAGGCTACACGTAGAGGAGATGCGGTGGGGAAGGAGGCAACATGTATCGTGAGTTTTCGACAATAATTTGGACGACGTCGGCAGGGCTGCCGACACTTCCAAATTTTGAACAAGTGTTCTGCTGTCTTGTTGTTTTCCCGGGAAAACTTATGGTAGTCTTCGACGTTGTCATTTTCAGAAGAGGATGGCATTCTGTAGCAGTCTGCGACGGGTGTCGTTTGTTGCGTGCAGTAAATGCACGGCATCGGCATAAGCTAGAACACGCCTCTTGATAATGGCTATCGTACTCCTTTTCATGTCTTGTTTTCTGGCCAGGCTCGACCCACGGGCCGAGTGCAGCTCCTGACGCACCTGGCGTACCTTGGCTATTGCTTCAACCCGGTTTCGTTCTACTACTGCCTCGACAAGACGGAGAGGGAAATCGAGACAGTGGTGGCGGAGGTATGGCTACGGTGACAGCTGAGGCGTGTAGTATGGACCGCGGTTGTAAAGGCATGGTTTCGCCATCGCACTTTTATTATTCCTGTGCTTGAGAACCCTACTTGAAGCACTCGGGCGAGAGGTGAAACTGCTTTGGGTTTGGACTTATTTTGGTGTTATTAAGTAGTTGCACACGGACGGCGGTGGTGGGAGCGAAGCCACCTTTCAAAGCAAGAGCGTGTTTGAAACCTGCTCGCAAAGTGAGAGTTACATTTTTCATGAGTTTGCATTCGCTTGAATCACAGGTTTGATCCCACGCCTGACCCTGGGTGGCGACATATTTGACGCGCTATGGTAGCCAGTATTGCAGTCTTCTCGCCCCCGCTCTCCCCTTACGAACTTCAGCGCCCATTCTGTTCCGCAACAGGCAAGGTGCACCGAGTCCCACATTCGTCTCAGCGGAGATGATTCCATTACTGTACCCTTTTTTGGCGCCACACGGAATGACCTTGGCAATGAGACAAAATAGCTATGCTGTCTGGTGGAGTGCGATTGGTTACCGTGCAGGCTGCCTCGATGCGTGTGCTGGAGATCGGTCGTAACGCCTCCTTGGTTGTTTGTGTCGAAGGATCCCGGCGCGATAACCGCGACCATTTTGGCGTGGACCTCCGCCACGAGGGTCTGCACTTCTCGCTGCGGTACGGTACGGTGCGGTTTGGTGTTTGTTTAGTGCGGTGTGGAATTGAAACAGATGCCCACGCGTTGTGCATCCCAGACTGACCATGGCACTCACATCACACTCACCCTGTTTTGTAGCAACGTTAACATCGGTGGATGTCGCTTCTTGCTCGTCGTTTTCGACAACGTCGACGCTGATAACTGCTCCCCAAAGGTGAGCAACACTCCCTGGGGAGAGATGCACTGCTACGTCCTCAACCCGAAGACGAAAGGGGTCCAAGTTATCGTCAAAGACAAGAGTGAAAACATCGACAGCAACACCAGCAAGAGGGGCACAAAAGAAATAACTCGATACAGGTGACGCGAGGAGATAACAACCGCGTCTTGTCCATTGTTCGTGTCACGCATGAGGCTTGATCTGTTGGGTTCCATATTTCGGCGGAGTGACGTTTCCGCGTTGGAAACCTCCACACCAATCGAAACAGAAGCCCGGGAGAAATAGGTTGGCAGCGCCCTGAGAATAGAAATAGAAAGGCAGCAAAAAAAAAAAGCTTTGACTCACGAGCGAGAAGCACAAAAGTCGCTCGAGCATGCCGTCGGGTACACGCACAAAGTTTCACCCCAAGTGAGAAAATAAAGTTTTTTTTAGCTCGAAGTTCTGACGTGTGCACAGGCAGTCGGTCACAGCAGTGCGTAGATGACCTATGCTTTACGGTTCACACCTCCCGACTCTAACGGCACCGTCGCTCCAGGTTCGAGAAGAACTTTCACGTGTCGCCGTTCATGAGCATGAAGCACACGTACGACTGGAAGTTCACGGCTCCTGACGCAAGTCCCGGCAGCGGCCTGATGGCGCAGACCACCCTGCTAGAGTCCGGCAGCGGCAAGATCTTCTTTGACGCTAAGCTTGTCCTGAGAAGGTGCGTGTGTCTTTTGTTGATACTGCTGTTAGCACCTTAGCCGATTTAGAGCAACGTAAATTGAGCGGGGCATAGAGGGTAACTCGCTTGGTGTTTCTGCTTGTGTTCTGGTTGTTTACCGCGGGCGGCACCACCCGGCTGACCCATGAAAATACGCCAGGCAGCGGTTTTTCACGACAACCAAAAGTACACGAGGTTTCTATCGGCGCAGGGTGTGTTAGTTGTGTGTTTTTTAGCTCAAACCGTGCGCGCAAAGAATGGACGTCGATTGAAGCGAGAACCAGAAGCGTGTGTGTTTCATGTAAGTATCAGAAGCATCTACATTGCCAAGCAATGAAAATGCTTTCGTCTTGTAGTGAGTCACAGGTTTCCCTGTAGAGCACTCTCATACTCGAGGACGATTCCAACTGTTCCATCGCACTGTTCTGCGAATCCTTCCCCGTAGTCACGTATACGCATGCCATGGTGGGCGCGTGTTCCGAGATACCCCGTTCACTGAAGGACTTCAATATGTCGGTCGCATCAACCGCCAGCTGACATGACAGCTGTCTCACGCTACGTCAGCGTGCCAGCTCAACGTGGCGTGTGCCCACGCGGCGTCAGACTTGTTCTGCGTCAGCGCTGGAGAGCTGTGCTGTGCACAGTCTCCCCCCCCTCCTCGTCTGTCACATCCGTCTTCACCTCTGTCTCCAGAGACCCGTCGCCTCTTCCCAGAGAACTGTCCTGTCTCGTGATATGCGCACCTCACGGTCCCCGCCACTGCTCTGGAGAAACCCCCTGTTCACCAGACGGCTGAGGGATCAACACCCTCCTGTGGTTGAGACAGCAAACCCTTATTGGCGTCAGCTGCACGCGTGTCGTGAACCTGCCTTTCCTCTCTCCACAGCGCCTCTCTCTCTCTCTCTCTCTCTCTCTCTCTCTCTCTCTCCACACCATGGTCTGCGAAAACGGTGACACCTCCAACAGTTCCAACCTCAATAACGACGGGTTACTCCCCGTTGCGCAGCAGGGAGAGACTCCGCCTCCGCTCGCGACCCCCGAGGTCGCTGAACCGCGTACCCCGCCTCCATCCCGCGGCGAATTCCAGACCAAATCCTTTCCTCCTGCCAACGAGCGCCCCGTCTCCACCACCGCAGCCGTCCCCGCCTCCCTTGCTCAAAAGCCGCTCCGTCCGCGCCCACTCCTGTCACCGACCTGCCGTCAACCCTCCCAGAAGTGCAGAAAATCATCGACAACCACCTGGACCTGTTGGTGGATGGTCGCATCGAGGAGCTGAGGGAGTCCGTGGATGAAGCCATCCACCAACAGGTCTAGGTGGTTGTCGATGATTTTCTGCACTTCTGGGAGGGTTGAGGGCAGGTCGGTGACAGGAGTGGGCGCGGACGGAGCGGCTTTTGAGCAAGGGAGGCGGGGACGGCTGCGGTGGTGGAGACGGGGCGCTCGTTGGCAGGAGGAAAGGATTTGGTCTGGAATTCGCCGCGGGATGGAGGCGGGGTACGCGGTTCAGCGACCTCGGGGGTCGCGAGCGGAGGCGGAGTCTCTCCCTGCTGCGCAACGGGGAGTAACCCGTCGTTATTGAGGTTGGAACTGTTGGAGGTGTCACCGTTTTCGCAGACCATGGTGTGGAGAGAGAGAGAGAGAGAGAGAGAGAGAGAGAGAGCGAGGCGCTGTGGAGAGAGGAAAGGCAGGTTCACGACACGCGTGCAGCTGACGCCAATAAGGGTTTGCTGTCTCAACCACAGGAGGGTGTTGATCCCTCAGCCGTCTGGTGAACAGGGGGTCCTTCCGGAGCAGTGGTGGGGACCGTGAGGTGCGCATATCACGGGGCAGGACAGTTTTCTGGAAGAGGCGACGGGTCTCTAGAGACAGTGATGAAGATGGAATTGATAGATAAGGGGCGAGGGCGACCGGGAAAAAAATGGTCGCGTTGTGTGCTTCTCGTATAATCATTCCTCCCGCCGCACCTACTGCTCGTGGCGATGTGCCCCACGGCGTTCCATTGCGCGTTTTCTGGTGTGGAATCGGCCCTTTTGAACGGTTGACCAACGTCAGTCGGAAAAAGAAGATGAAAATATTATGCATGTTGGAAAATCTCGTCTTCGTCGCGCGACAGGGCGATTCGCAGGGAAGCGGACAGACAGAAGTTCCACCTCTGATATAGCCTGAGAACAGACCGAGAGTTGGATGTTCCACTATTGAAGCGGCGTCTGCTAGTCATGATTGCGGGTGTCCCCCTTGTAAACGGGGACGGTGCTGCCTGTACTCTCATGTAAGAGGCGGGGCATCTTTGTTGCAAGAACGTCCACCAAACAGGAACGTGTCCACGTCGTCCTTTGTCGTAACCCCTCCCTCCCCACCTCTCCATGGCCAACGCGGGCCCGCTCCCTCGAATGTATGCAGGCAACCTTGCTTTTCCGCTGCGGCGTTGTGCTGGCACATGACGGCGTATCCGCTGTACACGGTTTGGGTGCAGGTTCTCATTCACTACCAGGCATTTCGGCTGTGGTGGAAACAGGTACATATATGATGATGGCGCTGCTGGCTTCCTTGTAGTCGGCCGGTAATGTTGGTCGAATCCAACTATTAGAAAGCATATGCACAAGAGTGATCGATGCGCCATAGGCGGGTGAGCAAGGGGCGGTGGGCAGTGCGTTGAGTTGACGATTTCGCAGGCAGAGCCGACAGGGGGGGGGGGGGGGGGGGTGT